GGTCATCTAGTCCAACCCCCTGCTCACACAGGAGACCCTCGCTATTCTGCACAAATGGCTGCACAGTTTCTTCCTAAAATCCTCCAGTGATGAAGCACCCACGATATCTGGTGGCCAGCTGTTCCACTGGTTAATTGTCCTCACTGTTAGGGGCTTTCTCCTTAATTCCAGGCTGCTTCTCTCCTTGATTAGTTCCCATCCGTTGTTTCTTGTCCTACCTTCAGATGCTTTAGAGAATAGGTGAACCCCCCCTCTTCTTTGTGGCAGCCCCTCAAATATTGGAAGACTGCTATCCTGTCCCCCCTAGTCCTTCAGACCTGGTTATTGCACAGAGTTTAGGAGCTAATGGCGACAAGACTTTGATTTATGATGTTGGATAATTAAAACTTAGAACATAGAATAACAAAGTTGGGAGGGACCTTGGAGGCCATCTACTCCAACCCCCTGCTCAAGCAGGAGACCCTTGCTATTTTGCACAAATGGCTGTCCAGTCTCTTCTTAAAAACCTCCAGTGATGGAGCATCCACAACAACTTCCTGTCAGGAAGTTTCTCCTTAGTTCCTGGTTGCTTCTCTCCTTGATGAGTTCCCATCCGTTGCTTCTTGTCCTGCCTTCGGGCGCTTTGGAGAATAGCTTGACTCCCTCTTCTTTGGGGCAGCCCCTGAGATACTGGAAGGCTGCTATCATGTCCCCCCTCGTCCTTCTCTTTATTAAACTAGAGACCTACCCAACTCCAGCAACCGTTCCTTATATGCTTTAGCCTCCAGTCCCCTGATCATCTTCGTTGCTCTTCTCTGCACTGAGTCTCAACATCTTTTTGTGGCAGCCCCTCAAATACTGGAAGACTGCTATCATGTCACACACACACACCCCAGTCCTTCTTTTCTCTAGACTGGCCCTACCCAAATCCTGCAACCGTGCTTCGTAGGTAAGGAAGATGGCTTGTTGAATGATGGACTGCTGGGGGTCCCCGTCAGTGTATCTAAAGCGGGGAAAGCAGACCCCAGGACGGTGTGGAAACGAGGGACGGAAAGCTATGGGGTAACACAAGGGGTGTGGGAGGCTCAGGGCAGACGGGCCTGGGCCTGCACTAGGCCTCCCAGGTCCTCCCCTATCTGAAGCACCCCATTTTTTTCTCTTTTTACAGCCCCATTTAACATCCATGGAGATTCTCCATCGTCCAGGTCATGGCTGTCTCAAAGGTGCTTTATCAAAAGACAACGGGACTTTGTTTTTCCTTGAAGATGTTTGCCTTTTCATCCAAGAAGTTTCATCAGTTGTTAATGAACGGTGGAGGACGGAAGGATTTATATTCCTCGCAGTCCTGACACAGAGGTAGGCAACCTTGGCTCTTTTATGACTCGTGGACTTCAACTCCCAGAATTCCTGAGCCAGCCATGCTGAGGGGAAAAGGCGAGGTTTCCAAGCTGAGCCATGCTGGCTCAGGAATTCTGGGAGTTGAAGTACATGAGTCATAAAGCGGCCTAGACCTAGGCCAGGGGGAGGCAACCTTGGCTCTTTTATGACTCGTGGACTTCAACTCCCAGAATTCCTGAGCCAGCCATGCTGAGGGGAAAGAGAGAGGTTTCCAAGTGGAGCCATGCTGGCTCAGGAATTCTGGGAGTTGAAGTCCATGAGTAATAAAGTGGCCTAAGCCTAGGCCAGAGGTAAACAACCTTGGCTCTTTTATGACTGGTGGACTTCAACTCCCAGAATTCCTGAGCCAGCCACACTGAGGGGAAAAGGAGAGGTTTCCAAGCTGAGCCATGCTGGCTCAGGAATTCTGGGAGTTGAAGTCCACAAGTCATAAAGCGGCCTAGACCTAGGCCAGGGGGAGGCAACCTTGGCTCTTTTATGACTCGTGGACTTCAACTCCCAGAATTCCTGAGCCAGCCATGCTGAGGGGAAAGGGAGAGGTTTCCAAGCTGAGCCATGCTGGCTCAGGAATTCTGGGAGTTGAAGTCCACGAGTCATAAAAGAGCCAAGGTTGCCTACCCCTGATCTGGCACTCGGGGGCTTATTTAGGGCACAGATAAGCCTCCAAGTGGCCTCAACGACTCTCGGAGAAAAAAAACACAGTCCCGTTGGCTTTTGGAAAAGCACCTCGGGGACAAACGAAGGTCTGAATTCTGACCGCGGGGATGCTGCAATGATCATTAGTGTGTAAAAAATGGTCGTTAAGTCGCTCCCCACCATCCAGCCAGAGCTGAAGAAGCTTCTTGTGGATGAGAAGCGAAACGTCTTCAAAAGGAACAGAAGGAAGCCCAGTTGCTTTCTGAAAAAAAAAAAGCACCTTTGGGACAACTGGATTCACTGAGAGCATCCATAGACATTTGGTCATCAGTCCCTTTTTTTTTCAATAGCGTTGTAATTTCAAATGGTCACTAAACATAATGATAGTGATGATGTTGATGATGATGATGATGATGATAATAATAATAATAATAATAATAATAATAATAATAATAATAAAGTTGGAAGGGACCTTAGAGGTTGTTCCACTGGTTAATTGTTTTAACTGTCAGGAAATTTCTCCTTTAGAATGGAATGGAATGGAATAGAATATAGACTAGAACAGAACAGAATAGAATAGAAAAAGAATAAAATAGAATAGAGAAAGAACAGAACAGAACAGTTGGAAGGGACCCTGGAGGTCATCTAGTCCAACCCCCTGCTCAGGCAGGAAACCCTATACCATTTCGGACAAATGGCTGTCCAGTCTCTTCTTAAAAACTTGCAGTGTTGGCGCATTCACCACTTCTGGAGGCAGGTTGTTCCACTGGTTAATTGTTCTCACTGTCAGGAAGTTTCTCCTTAGTTCTGGGTTGCTTCTCTCCTTGGTGAGTTTCCATCCGTTGCTTCTTCTCCTGCCTTCAGGGGCTTTGGAGAATGGCTTGACTCCCTCTTCTTTGGGGCAGCCCCTGAGATACTGGAAAATTGCTATCCTCTCCCCCCTGGTCCTTCTGATGTACGCTGATGATACTCAGCTGTACATTTCCACCCCAGGCCACCCCAATGATGCCCTTGACGTGATGGCCCGGTGTCTGGAGGCCGTACGGGTCTGGATGGGGAGAAACAGACTCAGGCTCAACCCTTCCAAGACTGAGTGGCTGTGGTTGCTGGCTCCCAGGTATGGTCAGCTGACTCCATCGCTGACTATAGGGGGCGAAACTCTGGCTCCCTCGGAGAGGGTGCGCAATTTGGGGGTCCTCCTGGATCCACGGCTGACACTGGAAGACCAGTTGACGGCTGTGGCCAGGGGGGCGTTTTACCGGGTACGCCTGGTGCACCAGTTGCGGCCTTTTCTGGACCGGGATGCCTTGCGCACAGTCACCCATG